CACCCCTTCGGGTGATAAGAACGTTGTGGGGGGGGGGAGGGGGGGAAACAACATCTGACTCAATCGATCTCACTATCGATCTCACTCAACGGGACACCACTTGACACCACGGGACATCACGGGACACCACGGGACATTTGTCGATCTCACTATCGATCTCACTATCGATCTCACTCAACGGTCCACCACGGGACAACACGGGCCACCACGGGACACCACGGGACACCGCGGGACACCTCTCCATCTCATTACCGTTCTCACTATCGATCTCACTATGGATCTCACTCAACGGGACACCATAGGACCCCACGGGACACCGCGGGACACCTCGGGACATCACATCGATCTCACCATCGATCTCACTATCGATCTCACTCAACGGGACACCACGGGACACCACGGCCACGGGACACCACGGGACACCTGTCGATCTCACTATCGATCTCACTATCGATCTCAGTTTTTTGGGACACCACGGGACATCACGGGACACCTCGGGGCACCACATTGATCTCAGTATCGATCTCAGTATCGATCTTTTTTATCGATTTCATTCAACGGGACACCACGGGACACCACGGAACACCACGGGGCACCTGTCGATCTCTATCGATCTCACTATCGATCTCACTTTTTGGGGCACCACGGGACACCATGGGACACCTCGCGGCACCACGTTGATCTCAGTATCGATCTCACGATCGATCTCACTATCGATCTCAGTACTGATCTCACTATCGATCTCACTATCGATCTCATTCAACTGGACACCACGGGACACCACGGGACACCACGGGACACCACGGGACACTGCGGGACACCGCGAGCCACCGCCGGACGGACGGACGGACGGACGGGGGAGAATCATTTGTTTTGATTTCGCCCTAGCAGCGGCGGACACCACGGGACACCACGGGACACCACGGGACACCGCGGGACACCGCGAGCCACCGCCGGACGGACGGACGGGGGAGAATCATTTGCTTTGACTTCGCCCTAGCAACGGCGGACACCACGGGACACCACAGGACATCGCGGGCCACCGCTAGGGCCACCGCCGGACGGACGGACGTATGGACGGACGGACGGAGGAGCAACATTTGCTTTGACTTCGCCCTAGCAACGGCGGGTTCATTCCTCTCGCGCGCCCACGCAGCTTCGCTTCGCCCGCACGCACGACACGAACGAAACGAAACGATTTCCCGGTTGGGGGTTTCCGTTCCACTGCGATCTCACCGCCCAACCTCCGACCATGTGGACACCATGGAGGCACCATCGGGGCACCATCGAAGCACCATCGGGAATAACACCTGAAGATACTGCGGGGGAAAATCAATGGTACCATTGGAACGCCAGCAGGACATCGTCGGGACACCATGTGGACACCACCGGGAAACCATCGGGAATCGGAACGCCATCGGGGCACCATCGGGACACCACCGTGGCACCATCGGGGCACCATCGAAACACCATCGGGTCACCATCCGGCCACCATCAGGGCACCAGCTGGACACCATCGGAGCACCATCGGGACACCATCGGGACACGATGTTGACACCATCGGGGCACCGTGTGGACACTATCCAGACACCGTCGAGACACCCCCAAGCCACCGCCAGCCAACCGGCGGGACACCTCGAACCTACGCGGGCCAGCTGGTGGGGGGAGCAACATTTGGCCAGGTTTCGCCCCAGCAGCGGCGAGTGCATCCTGCTCGCCTGCCCACGCAGCTTTGCTTTGGCCGGCCGCACGCACGACCCTACATCGAAACCGATTTCCTGGTAGAGGTCTCCGTTTTATTCCGATCTCGCCAACATCCGATGTATGATCATCGTTTCGGTGGATTGGAGACCTTTTGCAAGGGGTATTTCTTTCGAGTGGATTTGTGCGGCTCATTTTTACCTCGTTCGGAGAAGCGTGGCTCAAGGCTCCCCCGTAATGAACAAGAGCCCTGATTCATCTGAACGGTCGGTTCATGTCGAGGGTGTGGCAAATGAAACCTTCAAGTTGTCTGGGGGGGTGAGACAATCGACCGTTCATGTTTTGGGGTTGGGACAGTAAATCGGCTGTTCATGTGTCAGGGGGGTGGGGAAATGAACCCTTTATTGTTTGGGGTCGGGAATCTGAACCGTTCATGTTGTCAGGGGGTGAGAATATGAACTATTCATGTTTGGGGGTTGGGAAATGTTGCCGTTCTTGTGTCAGGGGGTGAGAAGATGGACCGTTTAATTTTGGCGGCGCTTCGTGTTTCTGGGGGGGTAGGAAACGAACCGTTCATGTCTGGGGGTTGGGAAAATGAGCCGTTCATGTTGTCATGGAGGTCAGAACATGAACCGTTCATATCTGGCAGCTCGTAGCTTGAGCTAGCATGCCCCTCACTCCTGTCTCATTTTTCAGGAGGTTGGGAAGATTAACCGTTCATTTTTGGCGGCGCTTTGTGTTTCAGGAAAGGTGAGAAAATGAACCGTTCATATTTGGTGGCTTGTAGCGTGAGGTAACATGCCACCAACGCACTCTTCATTTATTCAGGTTGTGGGAAAATTAACCGTTCATAGTTGGGGGTCGGGAAACAAACTGCACGGTTCAGTTTTCCGGCGGGGTGAGACAAATCACCGTTCATGGTTCGCGGTCGTGGAATTGTACCGTTCATTTTCGGGGTCGGGGAAATTAGTCGCTGAGTTTCCCATGGGGTTGGGGAAATTAACAATTGATTTCTTGGGGTCTGGGGGATTAGCCATTTCTTTTGCGGGTCGGGGCAATGAACCGTTCAGTTTTCCATGGGGGTCGAAGAAATGAGCCGTTCATGTTCGGGGTCGGGGAAATGAGCCGTTGAGTTTTCCAGGGGGGTGGGAGAATCGACCGTTCATTTTCCAGGCTCGGGGGAATGATCCATTTATTGTTCGGGTCGGGGGGATGAACCGTCCAGTTTTCCAGGGGGTTGAGAAAATTCACCGTTCATGTTCGGGGGTCGGAAAACGAACTGGTTCAGATGAATCGGCTGTGTTGGGGGCTGTGGAAACGAACCACATTCAAATGAACCTGATTCCTGGGCCCTAAGAACCAGAAAGGATTCCAATCCAGTCAAATCACCGAAATGGGAAGGAATGGGAGGGATGGGCGGATGTCAGATATTGCGCAGTCGCACCTAGCTTGCCTTCCTCCGCCTCCCCTCTTCCCCCCTCCTCTTCTTGCGCGCTACCGTTAGGCGGACTTTCGCAACTAGGCTGTAGTGTACAGGTGGCAGGAAAAATTAAAACCGGCTGAGTGCAGACTAAGCGATGCAGGAGATGTATAGAGAAGCGGAAAAGTGGATGGCCCCCGAGGGCAAAGAGTATTAGAATTGCAGGCGTCGGCAAGGAAGTCCCCATTCTCCCAGCCCGTCCCATCGTATCATATACCATCCCACAGGTCCCACCCCAATCGTGACAGTGCTGGCACCTGCTGCGCGCCACCTCCCCCCCCTCCTCCACGATTCTCCCCTTCTCCTCCACGCCCCCTCCTCCACGCCCCCTCCCCCTGCTCCCTTCCCTCGCCCTCCTCCCCCCTCCTCCCCCCCGCCTTCCTCCTCCTGTCCCCTCCTGCTCTTCTCTCTCCTGCCTCCGTCCTTCCTCCTTCCTCCTCTAGTCCCCTCCCCTCCCCAGACCTCGGGCGTCGTGATTTTTTGAAGTCCTGGCGGTCTCTCTTTGTTTCTGGCCTCTGGATGCGGGCTCTGGGCTCCTGGATGTTCACAAGCCGGGCCCCGGGACCGTCATCCAGCTATCCGGGATGAGAAGCTGTCGGCTACGTGACCCTTGCTGGAGTGACCTTGGAAGCGCGGCGCATGGCAAGATCACATAAGATCACTCACGCGTGTGTGCTGTCATAGAGCGTTACAACAGGCAACGCACATAATAGACCAAGCCCCCGACCAGCACAGATTGAAACAACAAGCGCGCTGCGTGGAGAACGCATGAAGCTCGAACAAGCAGCAGCGCCTTACAGCGGCGCGCGCTGTAAGCCAGCGGTGGTATGACAGAGTCTGCCAAAAGTCTACCTTGGCCGCGACACCTCACTTGCGTCTGCGCCTTCTCTTTCTTCGAGGCTTTTCAGGGGCGCGGGGTGACTAAACCCAAGCACGCAGGCCGCCACCTGAAAGGATTACGGTCTTGCTGGCGCTTTTCAAGGTCGCATCTACTGAGCAACCTTTGCCAACCTTTAGGCGCCCTCTGCCACCCGTGAAAACTCTTGCCATGCCCCCGAACACTTATCGCAATTCCTGGATTTCGCTCTCAGGAGGGCTAGATCGTTTAACTGTTTGGCGTGTGCAGAAGACGTGGCAGGAATTGCCAGGATATTGGCAGGGGTTGCCAAGAAGCTGGCAGAGACTGCGAGGATGTTGCTCAGTGACGGCCGCTGTGATCAGCTCTAGCATGTCCGTGAGCCGTCCGTGAACTGCCGAACAGCATGCACCGGTCGACAGCCCGCGCACCAAAGGTTCCTCTTGCTGAGGGTCACTTTAGCGTGTGGCCGAAGCCGGCTTCCTCTAAGAAAAACAACATAAGCACGAACTTTTGGCGCTCCGCGCAAAGGGGGGTCCAGCGCAGATCCAAGAAATCCGCGCGGAGCGCCAAACAGTTTATGCTTCTGGCGCCTTTTTTCTTCTGTTCTCACGTCCAGAGCATGGTTGCCCTCGGAAGAGAGTTGTGTCCCCTCGGGTGTTCTCTGCAACCAGTTCCGAGCTTGCCCTGGGATCCGGCGCCACGAACAAATTGAAGCATGGGAAAAAACCACAGCCGGAAACCGCACCCCCATTTTCCGGCTTGGGTATCTCGAGCCAGTTCGATCCGTGAGGGCCCTGGGGCCCGAAGCCGGGGGAAAACTGCCTTCTGGAGTCAAGAGACTGGAACGCCCACAGCTCGGGGAAGGTACGCAGTTAAATATTCCAGGGGGCTCGCTGCGGGTGCGCCCCACAGACCTGTTGGCGGAGGCTTTCCTCCAGGCCACGCGCTCTCCTCGGGACCATGGCGGCCGCGTCGCCTCCCTAGCGCACAGCCCGAGCGGGGGCCTTCTCTGCGGGCGCGCTCGACGCGTCCCAGGCCTCCGACGTCGAGACTTTCTGTTCGGCCCTGGCGATCTTTCCTCGATTTCGGCTTCCAGGGGGTTCGTTTCGGGCCCCAGGGCAGTCGAAAATGGTCGGGGACGAGAAATTCGCCTCAGGGAAGGGGTCGGGACCTCCTGGGGTCCGCGGATTGGGAACATCACATCGTCGAATACCTGAGATCATCTCCGTTGTTTTTGTCGCAGGGTGCGGGAGGCGACTATTCGGAGGGACGCGTGTCGTCGAGCGGCCCAGCGAGCGAGAAAGGTAGGTCGCCGCGCGATTTCGAGTTTTGCCGCGCTGAGGTCTCTTTCGTATTACTGCGGCGGCGAGTGGATGACATTCCCATACGAGAAGGAGCCGAGAAAACCAAAGGTGAATGTTACCCACGCTTCCCCGAATCTGGTCAAGTTCACCCTGACAGAGACGGACGTCAGCGTTGCGAACGCACTGCGCCGAATCATGCTGGCGGAGGTGCCCACGTTGGCCATTGACACTGTCAACATAGAGGATAACGACTCGGTGATATTCGATGAGTTCTTAGCTCACAGAATGGGCCTGCTACCCATCACGAGTCATAAGGTGGGAGATATCCCCCCAGATTCGGGCTACGTGGAGTACAAGCAATGCACGTGCTTCGACGGGTGCCCTTATTGCACTGCCGAGTTCAAGCTCGACGTGACCAACACGGAAGACAAGGTCCTTAAACTCATATTGTCAAGTCACACGATGTTTTACCACCATTCCCTCTGTTCCCTTTTTGTGAACGAGGGGAGGAGGAGGAGTAGGGTGAGTGTCAAGTTGGCCATGTCGAGAGAGTCATGGGGGCCCGCCTATTCCCACCCTCCCTCCCACAACATACGGATCAACTGTGGCACGTTGGGTTTGGAATGCGTTCCCACCTCGCAAACGGAAGACACTCGCGCGCGGGCCCGCTTCCGACGATCTGGCGAAGGGGAAGCTACGCGGGCTGCGCAGGGGCAGGATTAGCAAGATTCCCGATGGGCGCGGCGAAGACGAAGCATGTGCCACGCTGACGCAGCACTGCCACTCTTGCTCACAAGCTGTGCGGCACTTTGGGCGAGGTCGGCGTTTTGCCGCGCTCTCGCGCGGTCCCGCTGCCGCTGTCGATGTCAGGCGGTTCGGCGAAGGAGCCGCGCGCCGTGCCCGCGCGGGAGCGCCACTTCCGAGCGACATGCGCGCGAAGCTGGGGCGAGGGCGACATGTCGCCTACTCGCGCGGGCTTCCCAACACTGGCAAGTGATACAGATGCGCCGCGTCGTGGCGGGAGCGCCGGTTGAAGGCGAAGATGTGCGCGGCGCCGAGGCGAGAGCGAAATGCTCGCCCACTCACGCGTCGACGAAGTGGCGTGAGAAGGCTGTGCGCCGCGCCCCACCAGGAGCTCAGTTCTCTAGAAACATGAGCGCTTCGGCTTTTCTCGCGGGCTGTACGCCGCGTCCCGTTCCTGCCGCGCACTTTGCATTAGGAGTAGGCGTACTGCCCATCTTGATACGAAACACGTTCATGTTGCATTGCTTTGGCTGGTATGATGGGAACCCCATCGGCCGGCTGGGTGGCAGAGTGGGTGTAATACAAGGAAGGGGTAAGCATGGAGGGAAAGGGTTTTTTGGCGGGTTGGGTTTTGGAAAGGTAATGACGGTCACGCATTTCGACGTAGAGAACACTGGCAAGTACAGACGCGATAACGCCCTTCCGATCGATGAGGTGAAGATGGTGCCAAGCAGGAACCCAGATATCGACGAAGAAACGGACACCAGAGAAAACGGTATCATTATCGCCAAGCTCAAGAAAGATCAGAAACTCAGATTCGAGTGCTACGCCAGGAAGGGCATCCCCAAGTATCACGCAAAGTTCATGCCAGTGGCCACCGCCATCTACCAGTTCGAGCCCATAATCAGGACGAACAAGCAGATGCTTGACGGCCTCAGCCTCGACGAAAGGATAGAGTTCGTGCAGTCCTGCCCCCGAAAAGTTTTCGACCTCGACATCGAGGACAACGTGCACGTGGCACGGAAGGAAGATTGCATATTCTGCGACGAGTGCGTCGCGAAGGCGAAGGCGTGGGGTAAGAAGGATATGGTCACCGTCAAGATGGACTGCGGTGTCTTCCACTTTACCGTGGAGGCGGTGACGCCGGAGGGAGGCCCGCGCAACGTCATCGACGTGGTGCGGGCAGCGTTGCGCGTCTTGGATTACAAGATGTCCCTGTTTCTCAAGGATGCCTACGGCGATAAGATCGAGGAGTGGCTGCCTTGGGAGCGCCCCGCATGAACTTTCATGCTGTCTTAAACCTTAGGCCTCCCCCCTGCAGCTCCTCGTGTTCTGCTTTCTCCCGTCACACTACGTCATATTTGTACTCCTGAGTCAACCTCCCACCTCATCGGTCCTGCGCGTGCTTATGCTCATCCTCCGGCTTCCTCCTGCTACTTTGGCTGAGGGCACTGTTGCGTGCCGCTGTTGCCACGGCTGCTGCCGAACCCGATGCTGCCACTGCGACTGCCACTGCCATCGGCAAGCTTGCTGTGCTGTTGCTCTCGCCTGCGGTTCCAGTTATCCTGAAGCTCTGGCTCCTCCTGGACCTGAGCCTGTCGTCGTCGAAGTTTGTGGTCGGACGCTGCCATCCCCCCCTGCAGGGGCGGTCGCTCCTGGGGCGGAGTGGGATGAACAAATGAGTTTCTCTGTGCTAAAGGCAACGAGGAAGGGCCCCTCATGGGGCGGAAGGCCCCTGCGGCACCTGGAGGGGAGGGGGGAGGAGGAACGACGGGTCGGCGGCGACGACCCTGCGACTGACCATGGAGGAGGAGGAGGAGGAAGGAGAGAGGGACGGGTTGCGGCGGAGCTTCTCCTCTTCCATCGCGTTTTCCCCGAACAGTGCTTCCACGTAGAGGTTCTATTTTCTTGTCTAAGGAACTGGGCCCGAGTGTTAGTCCAGCGGCTATGTGTCGCCGACGCCGCCCCGTCGCCGCCTCGTCGCCGTCCGTCGTCTGGGCCCGTCTGGCGGTCTGGCGGCTATGTCGCCATCGCCGCCCCGTCGCCGCTTCGTCGCCGCCCGTCGCCTGGGACTGTCTGGCGGTCTGGAGATTGAGCCACATGGATCGGACCACGTCGATTCTCTTTTCTAAAAAGAAGATAGGTTCTCCCCCCCCTCCCCCCCCCCGGACTTATCGATTCCCCGGGAACGTATGCAAAACACATATGATTCTGACCCAATGTCCATCCTACCTGTGAATTCATACTGTCCCAGCCATGCCGGCATCGGTCCCCCCGGCTCCCATGCAACAAATAATTGTACGGCGACATGTTTTGTTCTAGCACAGCACTTTTTCACTAATCCTTTGTAAACAATAACATGCGGGGCACACGCGCGCGGCCGCTGCGCGCGCACGTCGAATTCCTTCCAAACACATGGTGTTTTCAACAAATTCAACATCCCGCTTCAAGAAAACCTATGACAACGCACGACTTTGTGACCCAATTCTGAAGCATCTGCCCACGCGCTTTTGCCGAATCCTTCAAAAATCAGTGTTTTTTCAACATTCCTGTCAAATTGGGCTTCTTGGGCAACTTTTGCGCGCACGTCGATCTAATTTATCAACGGTCGCGCTCCTGCCAGGGCCACAATCCCTTGTAAAAATACAATGCGGGGCACATGCGCGCGGCCGCCGCGCGCGCAGGTCGAAATCCTTCCAACACACATTGTGGTTTCAACAATTTCAAGACCGAGCTGCATGAAATCACACGAATCTTACCATACATCCTCGAAACACATCTGCAAACAAATCACACATTCTACCCGCGCGCTTTCCGAATCCCAAAAAACCAATGGTGTTTCAAGATTTCTGTCATGCGAGCAACTTATGCGCGCGCGTCGAACGCCTTCAACATCGGTCGCGCGCCTGCCAGGGCCACAATCCATTGTTAACAGTACCATGCGGAGCACATGCGCGCGGCCGCCGCGCGCGCATGTCGAAGTCCTTTCAAACACATTGTGTGTGTGTGTGTGTGTTTTCAACCAATTCAAGGCCAAGCTTCATGAAATCACAAGAAATCGTCAATCGCAACCGCCTCGTATGGGGTTTTACAAACCAAGGTGCGGGTGGGTGGGTGGGATGATTGCGCGAGCAGTGGAGTCGACAACTTCAAGTTCGACAGGGTGAATTGCACCACATATATGGCACCACATCTATTGCATAACCTAGATTACGCAACATCTATTGCACTACATCTACTGCACCTCGTCGATTGCACCAACTATATTGCTCCACATGTTGCATGCACAACATATCGAAGACGCCTACGGCGAATCACCGCCGCCCCCTGCCTTTTAGGATACACCTACGAGGCCAAACGTTTGTGCAAAGTTCGGCCACGCTATTGGACCATGCGTTCCCCCAGCCGTTGTGGAAGCCCTTCGGGGAACACGTGGGGGAGGAAGAGGAGGATGAGGAGGAGAATGAGGAAACAGGAGAAAAAGGAGAGAGGCAGGAGGAGGTCTTTTGGGAGCTTCTGGGGCCACTCTTGGGGCCTCCTGGATGCTTCCTGGGAGCCGTTTGGGGCATTTGGAGGCTTCTGGGGGGCCTATTTGTCTTATGGCGTTCCTGGCCCGTCTGACGCCGTTGGAGGCTGTCTTTGATGCCTCTCTGAACCGACTTGGGGCCCTCTTGGGGCGCCTCAGGGTCGTCTTGGAGGCTATCTTGGGCGTCTGGGGCCTCTTGGGCCGTCTTGGCGCCCTCTTGGAGCCGTCTTGGAGGCTTTTTGGGCCGTCATGGGGTCATCTTGGAGGCCTTTGGGGCCATCTTGCGGCGATCTTGGGGGCCTCTGTGGCCGTGTCGGGCCAGGGGGGGAAGGCCGACGAGAAACAATTGCCAAATTATTTCAACAACCAAAAGGAACATCAATGAGTTTGGCCTCTTCGGCCTTTCCTGGAAGTTCTTTGGGAGGCATCTTGGGCCCTCAGGCACCTTTTGGGCGCTTCTTCGGCTGTCTTGGGCTCTTTTGGACCATCTTTGCGGTCTTGGAGGCATCTTAGGGCCGTCTTGGGGGCAATCTTGGGGCTATCTTGGGCTCTCTTGGGGCCATCTCGGCCGTCTTGGAGGCATCTTGACCATCTTGGATGCCATCTTGAAGCCATCTGAAGCGAAACAGCAGCCGACGAGACAGGCAGTCGGCGCGCTGTGCCGAAGGCCCAGTGGGAGCTCTAAAAGAACCCCAAACCTTCAGACCGTCCAGCACGCCGGGCACCCTTGTGACAAGCGAACAGGGGGCGGCGGATCGAAGACGCCTACGGCGAATCACCAGCTGCTCTTTTTTTTGAGGTGCCTATGTGGCTGAACCTAGTGGCCATGGCTCGGCCAATATATCGGACGATCTGTTTCCTCAGTCGTTGTGGAAACTCTTCGGGGAGCACTTGGGGGAGACATAATAACAAGACAAACCATAGTAGTAAGAAGACGGACGCTAATACTTTTACTAATGATACGAAGACGAATGTTATCAATCATAACAGTGCTGCTCATTCAAAACATGAGAATAAGCATCATCATATTATTAAGAACCAGACGTGTATCAATATTAAACATACTAAGGCGAACATTAAGAACCATTCATAAGTCAATCCCGGTGGCGTCCCCAACGTGTCTAACACGGGGCAGCTACATTAAGGACAGCTCAACACAAACGAACTTGATGGAAGACGCGCACTTCGTAGCCCCCCTGGGAGCCACAGTGTCTAGGCTGGGTCCGCGTGGACCTCCACTCCGCTGGATCTCCCAGGAGCCCACGAAATGGAAGCCAGTTGCGCGGTTCGCAGCCTCCCAAGACCCGTGAGGTCTCGGCTGGGTCCGCGTGGACCTCCATTCTGCTGGACCTCCCAGGAGCCCACGAAGTGGAGGCCAGTTCCGATCAGTTCCGCGGTTCGCACCCCTACAGGGAGCCGCGAGGTCTCGGCAGATCCGCGTGGACCTCCACTCCGCTGGACCTCCCAGGAGCCCACGAAATGGAGGCCAGTTCCGATCAGTTCCGCGGTTCGCACCCCCACAGGGAGCCGCGAGGTCTCGGCAGATCCGCGTGGACTTCCATTCCGCTGGACCTCTCAGGAGCCCACGAAAGTGGCGACAGCTGCGCGGCTCGCACCCCCCGAGGGAGCCGCGAGGTCTCGGCTGGGTCCGCGTGGACTTCCATTCCGCTGGACCTCCCGACAGTTGCGCGGCTCGCCCCCCCCGAGGGAGCCGCGAGGTCTCGGCTGGGTCCGCGTGGACCTCCATTCTGCTGGACCTCCCGGGAGCACACGAACTCGGCGACAGTTGCGCGGCTCGCAGCCCCCGCAGGGAGCCGCGGGGTCTCGGCAGATCCGCGTGGACCTCCACTCTGCTGGACCTCCCAGGAGCCCACGACAGCGGCGACAGTTGCGCGGTTCGCGCCCCCCCCCCCCAGGGAGCCGCGAAGTCTCGGCAGATTCGTGTGGGCCTCCACACCGCTGGACCTCCCAGGAGCCCACGAACGTGGCGGCAGTTTCGCGGCTCGCACCCCCCACGGGAGCCGCGAGGGTTGGCAGATCCGCGTGGACTTCCATTCCGCTGGACCTCCCAGGAGCCCACGAAGGTGGCGACAGTTGCGCGGTTCGCAGCAGCCCCTTGGGCGCCGCGAGGTCTCGACGAGGGAGGGAACGATTAAACAGGAACGAGAGGGGGCTGATAGGGGAGGGGATGAAAGGGGAGGCGGGGAGGAGGGAGGAGGGAGGCTTGATGAGGAGAAGGAGGTGGGGCCCACACTCTTCTACTCAACACGAGAATCCAACCAAGGGAGGGTATGGGAATACAGCACGAAACAGGAGGGAGGAGGGGACAGGATGAGGAGGGTGAAGAGGAACAGGAGGAGGCAGGAGGGGGAGGAGGAAGGAGGGAGGGCGGGTTGTGGAGATCACACTTCTCTATTCAAAACGAGAACCAAACGCAGGAGAGTTGGGCATACTATTATTAGTGCTTTGACGGATGCCATTCAGAACAAAGAGGGATACTCGCAGTGCTGATACGACTGCTACTGCAAACACGCATTATACCAACGAGGCGGCGGACACTAACATTAAACTCACCACTCGTAATACGAGTAATACTAAGACGAATGCGACCACTAAGACGAATGAGACGAGCACTACGACAAACACTAACAGTATTTCTCACACCACACATACCAGTATCAGTATCAACTAATACTCACAATCGCAACCATACTCTCTTCATAACAAACCTGCTTTGAACAACATAGTAGTACTA